ATGACAGCTGATCAAAGAGAGGCGTGGTTTATTCACAGGATGAGACGAGGTCAGCGGGGTTTATGTGAATGATAGGACATCCACGCTTAGCTAACCAAATAACCATGGGAGCAAGTATTTTCATAACACCTAGAGGCAACAGTGGCACGCCAGGTGAAAAGAGCCCTATACATTTGAATGGTTTTGAGCGTTGATATGTTCATACCATTTTTTAACCAACCTGGGTCACTCATTTATATTACACAAAATTGATTCTTGTGAGCTTTAAGCCATGTTCGAATGTTGTTTCCGCAAAAACATACCTGGAGTTGTGTTTTGTTTCATTCACACGTTGTTTGAGTAATCCTGTTAGTCTGTCTACATCTCCAAAGCTCAAAAACGCTCTGTTACACCTTGTGATGTCATGTAGTGGTAGTTTTCAAGTTAACTACTTTTTCCCTTTAGTTCAGAAGAGATGAGAAATTCCAGGGCTGAAATCATCCAGATGATTCTAGTGATGGTGTTTAAAAACACAGTGGAGCACTTCCTGTATTACCACATGACATCACAAGGTGTCATGGTATGTTTTTGATGAGGAAACTACATTATAGCAGATCAGAATATATGGACCCTTTAATAATGCATTTCATAAAATTTTGAGATAACAATGTTATTATGGCTTACAACGAATGAGTGATGCCATTTTGCCAGGTTCTGTGTAGAGGCTACCCCACTCACAGTAAGAATGCATGCGATTTTTGTTGTATTTTTCAATTTTCCATATTGTGGAACATTCCCATGTATCTACATATCCATGGAAAGACCATGGAGACTCCGGACCAAATTACCCAAGTTACAACTTTAACTTAATTTTTTTCCAAACTAAACTAAGATCATTCTGGCTGCTAATATTGTTACAATAAAAATAAAATTAAAAAAATCTGAAACAGTTTTATTTACTCTCCAACTTGGTTTTGTTTCACTGCAAAACAACATTTGTTACAGTTTATTTTTGTTCTAAGTCATTTGATTAATAGCACCGCTAGTTTGGCTCTAACAGATATAACAAAATATGCGAAGTATGTTAAAGAAACAGTTCTGTGGAAATAAGTGCAGATGTTTCATGGTACAATAAGGATGACACAAACCAAAGGCCTGTATGACTAAAATGCAGCTGAATTTAAATTTTTTGTTTACATTAAAAAAAAAAGTGTAGTAGTTTATGGTTAAGGTTATACTTTATTGTGCCCGTACAGAAATGTTCCCTCTGCATTTGACCCATCCTTCAGTGGCACTGGCAAACTGTCAGGAGCAGTGGACACCACAGTCTGTCATCCGGGGAACCATCTACATGATCTTGTTGCTAGGGGCTTGGTCTGGACTACCTGAGCTAAAGAATTAATCCTTTTAGTTTAGTTTTTCTAATTTTGTGATGTATTTTTCAGGATTTTCAGGAATTTTTAGCATACACTCACAACCAGTTACTCAGTTTTCAAGTGGATATGCAAACCCACAGCTTTTTAAAAATACTTTTACTTGAATAGTTATTAAAAGTCCTATATTACTCTATGTTCCGATCTATGCTATATTGTTATTTCCTCATTAAAAACATACTTGGAGTTGTGTTTAGTTTCATTCACACATGTTTAACACACAAACCCTGCATATTTAGTCAGAGTTCTTCTCTCAATATTGTTAATTGCTAAAAGAGAACTTTAAGGAGTCTTGAAGCAACATTTTTACTTTGGATTATTAACGCTATTGTTTTGAATTTAGTAATTACCAGTTGTTGCAGTTAACTGATAAAGTCTTAAACATTTAAACTACCGCCTTGTGTGGAATCAGGTAACAAAACATTTTTAATTAAATCCAACACTTCATTTCTTAGAGCGTAGAATCATTTGGATAATTTCAGCCCTGGAATTGCCCATCTCTACTGAACTAATGGTAAAAAGTAGCTTAAAAACCACCACTGCGTAACTTCACAGGGTGGAACAGTGCATTTTGAGCTTTTGGAGATGTAGACAGACTAATAACAAAGGATTACTCAAACATGTGTGAATGAAACAAATCAACTCTAGGTTTTTGAGGAGGTAACAGCTTTAAAACATGGCTTTAAGCTCACAAGAATCCATTATGTGTAATATAGGACCTTTAAGGTGAGTCACTACTTACAGTACTTTGTTTGGCTACTCCATCTTTGGCTTTCCAGTGATTAATCCTTAAAATTTTTACTCACACTTTCTATGAAGTCCTGTGACTGACCACTGTGTTTCAGTTGCTATTTATTTTCCTTTATTTTTCTCAAAAGCTATTTCATTCGTCATAAGCTCTCCACTCATTACTTCATTGTGTCAAGGTTAAGTGTACAAAACCGTACAAACACTGCAAGAGGAAAATGTGGCCAAATGGAGCCAGTGCATTCAGTTACACAAACACACTAAGGTGCACACCATGCTTTGTGGGGACATTACATTGATTTGCTTTCATTTAATGGAGATTGGTTCTAACCTTAAAGATGCACTGTGTAGCTTTTCTGGTGGAGGGTCAATCGCCTGCTTCACTCCATGGAGATTTTGCCTGGAATGTTCCACAGTATGGCTACCTGCTCAAAGAATGCAAGTCAATAAAAACCCATATTATTGAGTAAATGCAAGATGGAAATGTTTAATGCCACACCGGGACATTCCAGACAAAACAAAAACATCTCCATGGACCATAATTCATACTTGCCTATCCTTAATCAAAAAGTTCATTATGTAACCTTTCTTTTGAAGGGTCCACCACACGCTTGTCTCCATGGAGATGTTACTGTTTTGCTGGAATATTCCACACTGTGGTATTAAACCAGGAGTATTCAATATAGACAGGTGGAGGATACAGTGAGTCACTCTTTAATCTTAGGTTTTATATCACGCACAATGTACCTCTCTTCCATTTATTCAATTACAGATGTTTTTATTGCTAGAAATAAAAAAAATATTTAAAAAAAACTTGCATACCAAACAAAACTAAACTAGCTAGTCCATTACAAAGGCCTAAGCTAACATGTAAAATGACAAAGTTTTAAAATGTTTATTAATTAATTGATTAGAGTTCTACACTTAACATTACCTGTAACAGAAAGTAAATAATTCAAAGTGCATTTTCCACTTGATTGTAATTGAATTGTTTTAATTTTGTACTTACCCATTTTTGGTGTCTGCCATTTTAGGTGTTCCAGCCAAAACAGTTCCAGGGCAACCAGAGCACCTTAAGAAGGTTCCAGGGTAGACCACTCTGTGTTATTGGAGGAGGGGTCATCAAATATTTTTAGCTTCTGAATCTAGTCCGTTTCATATTATTAACACTTCTAAATTAATACAGAGAGCCCTATTTATGGATTGGATTTAAATGAATAAATTATAACATTGTTTTTTGCTAAGACTATCTTTTGAAATATTATTAAACTCACCTGTACTTAGCTGCACTGGAGAATGGGAGTGCGCAATTAAGGGGGGTGTTATAAAAGGAGCTAACCTCAGTTTTACCGGTTTGAAGTGCTGTGCTTTTTTTTCTTTCTTTTTCATTCTTTTTTGTGTTGGTGAATAAATATACTTGGGTCTGCTCTGGATTGAAATGGACTTAGCTTTGTTCCTCCTCAAAATCTCTAAAGTTTGCTACAAAAACAACAAAAAAATTCTTTCATTGTGGGTCACCTCTCCACAAATCTGCCTCGTTCCATGGCCTGGTGGTGTCGCCTTCTCGTTTCCACGAACACAAACCAGCACAAGTGAAGGCGCCTCCTCACTCTCACCTTGTACCTCATATATGACGTCATGACAACGGCAGTGAAATCATTGGGTGGTGGGCAGACAGAGGAATGCGAGTGACTCTAATCTGCAGATAATTGTTTGTTCCTGACATTTGTGGAGCACACACAGAGTTGCCATTTGAAACAATGAGCAGAGCTGACCTTTGATTGGGAGGCTAGGCTCGTGCCAACCATTACACCACAGGGCCAGGACAATAGTCGCTTTGAGGACAAAAACAAAAAAACTGAAACAATATAGGCAGACTCAGTTTATAAAGCGGTCAGAAAGAGAGTGGTAATTACGGTCTTTTGTGTAGTTTAATTAAAGGTGTGCGCTGGAATTCTAACAAACCGTATATGGGAAAGGGTACTTTCAATTCAGTATTGGTGGTTTTCACATTTTAAAATGTGATGCTGTCATACTCTCAGATGGGGTGTCGAGAGACAAATGTTCCCATTAATAACATTGTACTTTACAAGAAATATCCAAAATGTATTCACAAATCTTTAAGGCAATCTTTTGTATCAGTGATTAAACCCATTTACTTGCTATGTTACAACAAAAACCTACATTTTAACTGTATTTACTGTAGCTGTCCCCCATCTGTATTAAGTAATATTGGCCTTAGGCTGGTGTGATGTCATCTTTAACCCAGCAGTATGCTTTACTTAATATGTGTTGTTTATTAGGATCCCTATTAGCAGTTGCCTTGACTATTCTTTCTGCAGTTCACAAATAAAAACACACAGTGGGAAAATCACGGGTTACAGATACACTGTAGGATATATTGCAGTTGATGGGTATGGGTATTGAATCAAGTACCTCACATTCAGTAACAGTTATCATTAATTATCATCCAACCCTACACATATCTGAATTATGTTAAGAATACCGTAGATGGTATTACATGACGCAAACACATAACTGATATGTTTACTCCGTTTACAGTTACTGCAAAGTGGACGTGACTGACTATGTGCCTTGGCTGCTATGATTGGCTGGTGTAGCGTGGAATTATTTTTCATTGTTCACTGGAATCCAATGAATGAGACAATTAACACCACACTCACCGAGCACTTCCTGTTTTGGTGTGACCTTGCCATGGCAACTATGACGCCAGCGCCTCCTGCTTATGTCATCAAATGTGGGCATGTGTAACTGAGGGCTCTCAGGGAATGATACTTGAAATGCAACTTACACAATAAATGATTTAGAGAAATACACAAATCAGAACATCTTGAATCTTTATTTAAACTTAATCTTTAGATGGCAGCAACAGGTATAAGAACAAACTGAAAACAAAGAAAACCATGCCGTATTAGTATCCATTGAAGCCTAGACTTAGATAAGCTCCTCTGCACAGAGGAAGTACACCAGTTAAAGTCTGCCTCTCTCACAGTAGAGACGTACATGGCTTCACTCCTGCCTGATGCTGGGCACCAGGTCTTTGCATAGAGCTGTATGAGCAGCGGACTCTCTGCTGCCACAGTGTGGACACTGTGAGCAGTGCTGGTCTCATGAATGATTGTCAGTGGAGATCAGTCCTCCAAAGGATTCAGGCATGTGCTGGGGCCATTTCCTGTGCACACAAATATTCACACATGATATAATTTACCCCCTCCCTTCCCAGTCTACAGCCACACAGTGGCACAACAATACAAATCAAATACATAAAAAGATCACAGCCGTCATATTTATAAAGGCTTCATAATATAATGTAACATTATTTAGCTATAATACAGTCAGGCACATGTACAGAGGGCAGAGGAGCTGTCTACAGTAACCAACATACAGGAGGTATATGGCAGGAGCTTTGGAGCCACTGGACAAGCACTGTCCTATCCCTAATTAAAACTTCTACAAACAATCCCAGGATGGGGACAGTGTTACCGTGGTGACGACAGGGGTGTATAAACAGAGTCTCAGCAAAACACTTGAAAAGCACCTCCTCCATCTTTATGAACAAACACAGCCGCGCTCATAACAGGAGTGCACAGAGGAGAGCCCTATGCACACATCTGTCCAAACGCACCAGCAAGGAGCTACAACGCTAATGCTAACGCTACACATAACTTAGAAGAGAGCAATGACAGATACTTAAAACCCCTCAAGCAACATTTCCTTCACTCTGTTGCATTCAAGTTTCTAAATAAAACTGGGTAAAAACAAAATTTCCAAATAATTTTACATCCTGTGAGTTGTGAGCATGAATTATAAAAAAAACTGTTGAGAACAAAATGTTTAGATTAATGTAATTTAGCATCGGCATAACCTGAAAACATAACTGAAAAACAGACTTCTATTTCTATTAAACTGGATTTACAGTAGTATTGATCTTAACAAGCAAACATTAAGATTTCACACTTCCAATCAATGAATTAACAAAAAGAAAATATTTTTGCAACTCTACCAGAGAGTGTGGTATTTTTTTTTACTTGAATACTTTTTTTTTTATACAGCGTTTCATAGGCAGATCCTCGGTTGAAAATTGAAAGTGGAGAGAGGCGGAGTTAGTGCTGATAATACTAGACTAAGAATAGAGCAGCAGTTTGGCCGGCAACTTCTTCAAACAAAAATGCCATGCAGTTACTAAGATTGGCCATAAGAGGGTGCTGTATCAACCAGTAGTCTTTCCCTTCTATTGCTTCACAGACTTGCACAATCTCTAATAACAGTTCTTAAGGGCAGTGTCCAACATTTGCTTACAAAATACAGTTTTTGTACTTGATAGTCCTTTGGTGAGATTGTCAGCTGTACAAGGCAGTTAAATATCTTCTTTTACTCCAAAAATAAATAATAATTTTGTGGTATCTGTTATTAATTTGAGTTATTTGATGCTGGGAAGATACCAGTCTCAAAAAGTCCAAGATACTTTATTTTCCTTTGCACAAAAAAGTTTCTTCTTTCTTTTACAAGTGATGCATTGTACACCGGTTCTTTAGACCTCATTCCAGACAGGCATGCCAGTTCCAAGGAAATGTTTCTAAGCAGTGAGATCAGAAATAACAAGTTTCTCCATTTTGTTTCCAATGTCACCTGGGACGTGCAGTTCTTCTGAATCATAGTCATCATCAAATGACCTGCCAGAACACACAGACAGACATAAGATTACAGTAAGTGTTCATCCAGTTCTTCCTGTAAATGAGTGTGTTTTAGGTCCATATGTAAAAAGCATGCAGGGCTGTGCAATAAATGAATGAAGGTTTAGACTGTGTTCACAAAAGACTAAACTAGGACTTAATTTGGAAACTGGACTAATCCAGGAATAAACCAGGATTTTAACAGAACCAAAAACATAATTCCAAAAATTACAATGCAATCTAAGGTTGCACAATAGATTGAAAAAAGATTGATATCCAATACAAAAAAATCTATATCACAAGAAGCAAAATAAGTCACAATAACAGGTTAAGAAATTCAGAAATTTAAATTTAAAAAGGCAAATTTTAGTTATGATTTGACCAGTTTAGCCTTGTTTTAGTATTGGTTTAGTCAAATCAGTGACTAAACCAAATTCTGTTGTTAAGTTTGATTCTGTTAAAATAAAATGTTATGAGATAATTATCACAATACAATTTTTTTTTTCTTATATTGTGCAGCCCTAATACAATCAAAGTTATGCTACATATGTTGTAATATGAATGAAATGAAGTAACTTATTGGAGAATGGGGTATGATCAAATCAAAACTTTTTCCTTTCATTTTGTCTTTATGTACATTAACTCCTTAAAAATAACCCAAGAAGTTAAAACTTTTTCCTACTCCCTTTTTATGCATTATATTTTTATGACAAGTTGTGTTTCAATGGCCAAAATTAGAATACACATTCTACTTATACAGTGCAGTGAAATGCAGTTCAACATCTAACCAGAAGAGCAATAAAGGAAGTACTACATTTTCTACATATAACATGGATATATTATATTTTGTTGTTATTGTGCAGCTATATTAACGTATGAGTGAGTGAGTGCTTATACCCATCATGCAGCTGTTCGTTTGCCGTCTCCTCGGCGACCAGAATCTCATATTCCTCTGAGGCATATTTGTCCCAGTCTGACGGCTCCGGACCCTCGCTATCGATGTCCTGCAACAGCCACAAATACATGAGGAGGAGGAGTTGCTCAGATAGACTTACAAGTATTTGTGCTGTGTACAGAACTGCTTTACACGGACAGAGAGACAGTGTAAGAACTACAGTTTAAAGGCAGGGACTTTTCAACATACAGTAGGCCTAGGATTGTCATGTTATATGGAACAATATTTTTGGGAGTCAATATTTATCATGGGTACTTTTTCTTTGCACTGTTGGGATTTTTTTTGTTGGTTTTTTCTGTCAGCATGACCTGATTTGAGCTGAAGATGATTAAATTATAAACGAAAATCACACAAGTGTATCATTCGGCTAATTGTTTATTGCAGCTCAACAATATTGTACATTTAGAATACTTTTTTGTGAATAATTCTGCTTTATGGTTTGATTCCAGTATTATTGTGACTTCACCAATATAGCGCACTTCAAGTAGGACTAAATGATCTGATAATATTTTTATAATAGCAATGAATAAATGAAGGGATTTATTCATTCATTCATTAGGACAGCTATATAATCTTATAATCATATCTTTTTGTTACTGAAAAATTATTTAATGGTGACAGATACGTTATAAATTTCATCTATTGTTTTATGTTGATCTAAAACCATACTAAAAATGTAAGTTAAACTACATGCAACACTGCGTTACTTTCTGGATGATTCTAATAAAAAGTACAAAGCATACTTTCATTTCAGTCTATTTTATGGTAAAAAAGTTACATGGAGGTGCTTTAATATGAATTGTTTAAATTAATATAACATATTTTAATGGACAACATTTGCCTTTTTAAGCCCCCTGAATTGATTGTCATTATGATATCAGATAGAGCAAGTAAAAATTAAACCTTGACAAAATTTCTCATTACTGCCAAATACATAAGATCCATAAAATTGTGAGCTTTTTAAAAATTTTTTTGGTGATGAGTTTTACCTTTTGAACAGCGAATGGGTCCCTCTGCTCGTGGTCCAGATATTTCTCCAGGTTAAAGAAGGTATCGAAAAAGATATGGGCCATTCTGCACTTCTTCAGATCACTCAGTGTAATCCTCCCTACATAGACAGTGACACATATAGTACACCACACGCAAGCTTTAAGTCATTTTAATGAGCCCACGATCATTACATAGTGAAGATATGGCACTTAATACAGACATTCCAACAGTAATTCAAAGATCCCTGGTTCTATTTTTACTACAGCTGTTGTGTCCTTTGGCAAGACGCTTCACACACCTTGCCTCGAGTGGGCGGATGTGAGATTGTGGTGACTGGAATATGTGTACACACAATTTATGCGAACCTGCCTCTGTTATTATTAAATCAACAACATGATTTTACAGATTTGGGTCAAGGTACATTAGGATTAATGGTCATACATCACGCAACATTGACTCTTGTGAGCTTTAAGCCATGTTAGAATGTTGCTGCCTCATCAAAAACAGACCTGGAAACCCTTTATTATTATTAGTCTGTCTACATCTCCAAAGCTCAAATGCTCTGTTCCACCTTGTGATGTCATGTAGTGGTAGTTTTCAAGTTAACAGGTAGTTTTTGCCTTTAGTTCAGTAGAAATTGGCAATTCCCGGGCTGAAATTATTCAAATGATTACAGTTTAAGTGTATGGAGTTTTGTGGATTACCACATGACATGTTATCTGTTTGAGAGAAGAAGTCAGCCTAAATATGCAGAGTTAGAGTGTTAAACATGTGTGAATGAAACAAAACACAACTCCAGATCTGTTTTTAATGAGGAAACAAGAAAATAAATGCCAATATCTTGTAACACATATACAATTTCTTATACTGGGAGGCCGGGAGGGAAAAATGCCTTGCACAAGGACACAAAGGTAAAGAGTTCAAATTGGCCCAGATAATATCAAGTTAAAGCCAATGACACCCAAAGGCCTACAGCAGCACCCACCTAGATTCTCTGGTTTGACGAGATCCAACATTTGACACAGCAGATCCTGGAAAGGCAGAGGTTCTATTCCCATTCGCTCCATTCGCTCACACTGCTCCTCATAGAAGTACTCCAGCTCAAACATGGACAAGACTCCATCTCCATCCACATCCATGCATCGGAACCAGTACTCAATACTAAAACACAAGCAAAATACTGTGTTAAAGCAAGATAACAATCATAAAATGTTACCAAAATTAAAGATGCGTTGTGTGTCCATCAAATGCTTTTCTCCATGGAAATGTTAATGGTTTGTCTGGAATGTTTCAGAGTATGATATTAAACTTTTCCTTCTTCATATGAGCTATAAAACCACCTGTAACTAAATAAATGTAGGGTAGAGCAATTTAATGTCATACTGTGAAACATTCCAGGCAACGCAATGACATCTCCATAGAAACAAGCAGGTGACAAACCCCCAACCAAGTGGGGTTAGTGCACCTTTACTTACTTTACTTTCAGAAGAAGAATCTTAAAATGTATATGTGACAATTGTATGTGACAGTTACCTTGTGGGGTTTTTCTTGTCCTCTTCAGAAATGAGGAACCAAACGAATTCGGCGTAGCTCATGCGCCCCTCTCTCTGCACGGCGTTACCCCTGGCAACCACACAGACAATTAGAGCGAATACTTCCACAAGGATAAATAATCATTCCGTTTAGCCTTTGTACTGGAGATTTTTACTCACCGAGTCACAGCTCCAGAGAACAGCCTCTCTATGATTCTGTTTGAAGAAGCTGAGGATTGAAAAGGCACAGTGGATACAATGGTGAGTGATTGTGTATTCAAGTAGACGCTGTTTATACACAAATCATGTTCTAAAACACGAAAAAATACAAGATTTGAAGTGAGTGAAAAATTATTAAAAACAGGCAATGACTCTACTGTACTGGACTGTATCCAGCTACCATTGTTTAAAAAGAAAAGTGAAATTCTGATGGGCTTGGTTTAGGAGAAACTGGCTTAAATATAAATAGTCATTACTTTGAGACCCTGTGTGACCCTGCCCTGCCACGTATTCACACACTCAAGCGGTTTTCTTTAGCTGTAAAAGTGTATTTTTGAATTGAACAAATGCAAGATGATAAAATGGCAACTAAGAAATAAAAACTAAATATTACATATTTTGAATGGTGCACAAAACCTCAAAATATGAACTGGACGCTAGAACCAATGACAGTCTTCCTAGGATTAATGTCATAATGAGGGACATTTCAGGCAAAGTAATAATATCTCCATAAAGACAAGCAGATGGAGGATGCTCCACAAGAAAAGTTCCCTAATGCACCTTTAACTGCAGTACTGAACTTTGAAGTGACGTCATGCGGGTGTTGTTCAACATGCATGTGTATTGGAAGAATGTTCATCAGTTACCGTGGAGACACAATGCAAACACACAGACAAAAAAAGTTTAAGATGAACTGAAAATACAAAATAGATTTAAACAGCACATTTTCAGGAGCATGTGATCAATATGAGCGTTCATGGTGCTGTTTAGATGTTTGATTTTCAACAAAAAGGTGAGAGTGAGTAACAAAAAAAACTGTTGGGTAATTCAAGAGAGCTTGTGGCTGTAATGTTATTTGAGAGATACTTGTTTAACAGCATAAATCCTCTCACCTTTTGTAGTTCCAACTAAGTCAGCTCTTTCTGGTCAGATTGTGTTAAAATAAAACTCAGGCAGAGCATGCCTACAGTTAGCATCGCACCCACAACATAATAACTAAATGATATCTAACCATGATCGTTGTATCTGGAGAGGTCCTTGAGGTCTATGTAGAGGTCATGGTCTGTGTCCAGCTCCCAGAACTTGCAGTATATGACGTAGAAGTGTTCGTACGAAAAGTAGTCTGTGATCTGGTTTATGTCGTCCTCTTCCTCCAGAAGAGCCAGAGTTTGAAGGAAGTTACTCCTCCGCAGCTCCGTTGTGGTGATGCGCCCGGACCAGGAACGGTTCACAATGTAGTATATCCTCTGAATCACCTGAGAGGAGGGTTTTTTATTATTAAAGAGCCCAAATTGCGCTATCTTCTCTATGATACTGTATAATGTTGTTTCCACATCACAAACATACCTGGTGTTGTGTTTTGTTTAATTCATGCAGTTAACACACAAACCCTGCGTATTTATGGCTCTTCTCTCACAATGAAACACTCCCTTCCACCTTGTGATGTCATGTCCATACACCTTCACTAGAATCACTTGAATGATTTCAGACCTGGAATTGCTAATCTCTACTGAAATAAAGGTAAAACGTAGCTGTTAGCTTGAAAACGTCCGCTTCATGACATCACAAGTTGGAACAGAGCATTTTGAGCTTGAGCCTGTAGACAGGACTAATACAGGATTTCTCAAACATGTGTAAATGAAACAAAACACAACTCAACAAGATTCTAACATGGCTTAAAGCTCACAAAGTAAATTTTTTCAGTACATTTTTTTGAAATATAGAACCTGCTGTGATTTGAATATTGAACTTATTATGCCATTAAGAAATATATTAGCCACAAAAAATAATATGATTCCTTACATTAGTATTTGAATGTTAAAGTATAGATAATGTATGGATATTCTGTATCTGTATCCATGTGGGACAATATTTGATTCACCAACTCACAAGCAAATGTTTTGGAATTGGAATTTGGATAATACATTCAAATACAGGCTATGTTATATATTTGCATGAATGAACAGTACATAATAGTCACAATAAGTTACAACTTTAAACAACTTTATACTCTCTGTACAATACTCCTGGTCTGTTTTAAAAATGGCCCATGAGTCCAGAATAAAGAATAAAGATGATGATGATGAATACAATTTATTATCATGTCTTAGTGCATTTTTCTTTCTTCACTTACAAAAGGGACCATCTGCTTTATCTCTGTCTTGTTAGAAGCAGATACCACAGGGCACTGGGGGTACATAGTTCCACTGGCCTCCTGTTACTCATCAGTGGGTCTAAACTGAATGACCTGTCTTAATATGGGCATGTGGGGGTCTGGACCTCCAAAGCAGAGGTCACTTCCGGTCAGAAGGGGGCAGTGTGTTTCCGTGATGTCATTACAGCCTGACGCACAGACAGAGGCTTCTACTGCATCACTGACGAAGCAGCACAAGGTCTGACCAAACTCATCTTCATTTGACATTATGGTGTTTTGTTATAATTATGCTAATTCCAATACTGTATTAAGCAACACTTATACTAATGATTAAAGGGGCTATAGTATGCTACTTTTTTGTTCTATGTTATAATGTTGTTTTCTCCTCACAAACATACCTGGAGTTGTGTTTTGTTTCATTCACACATGTTTAACACACAAACCCTGCATAGTTAGGCTGAGTTCTTCTCTCAGTTTGAAAACACACTGTTCCACCTTGTGATGTGACGTGGTAATACAGGAAGTGCTCCACTGTGTTGTTAAACTCCACACACCTTCACAAGAATCATTTGGATGATTTCAGACTTGGATTTGCCTGTCTCTATTGAACTAAAGGTAAAATGTAACTGTTAACTTGAAAATGCTTCATGACATCACAAGGTAGAACAAAGAATTTTGAGCTTTGGAGATGTGGACAGACTAATAATAATAAAAACGTGTGAACGAAACAAAACACAACTATATTTATGTTTTTAATGCGGTAACAAGATTCAAACATGGCGTAAAGCTCACAAGAGTCAATTTTATGAGTTTTGTCTGGTTAATACTACAACACTTGAAACTAGCACAAAAAAAAATGACCAATAATTATAGTTATTGTATTCAATATTATGAAAAATCGGGTGTATTTTATTTAATTTAAAGGATAATTAAACCAAACATATTTTTACCGTCGTGATGTAGCGGGAATGGAACTCAGGTGCATCCTTCAGAAACGTCAGTCCAGGATGTGTGTCCACGATGTCCTAAAATTCAAAACAAGAGAGAATACATTTTAAGATGTACTGTTTAACTTTTGTCAAAGACAGTCGGTCATCTACCTGTCTCCGGGGACATGTTATTGGTTGGCCTAGATTGTTCCACAGTATGGCACTGAATGTAACAAGCACCTGACACCACCCAGCAAAGTCAGATTTGAGGAGAGGCAAGTCCACTCACAGCAAGAATTCATGCTTTCAAAGTACTTTTTTGTATAAACTAGATACTTTTAATGCCATACAGTGGAACAATAACATCTCCATGGGAACAAGCAGGTAGCAGACTCGCCACCAGAGAAATTGCATGGTGCACATTTAAGAGAAAATAAAAATGGTAATAGTAGATTCAGTGACAATGAAGTAAAAAATACATTGTCATTATTTGGGTGTTTTCCTACACTGACAGGGATTCAATGGTAAAATAGACTCTATGTTTCTTTCACAAATACTGAATGAAACACGACCCAAAGCCAAACAAAGAAAAGGTGATTTGATCTGTCCTTTGTACCTGAAGCAGAGGGATGAAGTCCTCTTGCTCCAGGAAGTTACACCCGGGTTTGGCCAGCAGATAAATGAATCTGGACGCGTCGTCATGGCAACTGTGCAGCAACCTGGAATAAAAGAGAGGAAGAGATCATTATCATTATGTGGGTCTGATATAGGCCTAAGTTATAAGACTCATGCACAAGCTCATAAAAGAGAATATATAGGGTGTAACTTTTTTGATACATACAATTTATACATGCATACACTGTAATAAGGTAAAGTTAATAGTTGAATTCAGATTATGTGCCATGTTTTTGCTGGCCTAGCTTTGAGTTGCCTTTTTTATTATAATTATTTAGTTGGTCTAGCAGTAGCCTGACATGTTTCACAAGTACATTATACATACATCTTACTCAATCCACACATAACCTTGTTGGCTGAAACTAGACAAACAAATATTGAAACCAATTGGACACACGTTAACAGATATTTTGTTGTGTTTAAAGAAAAAAATCATATACTATATTTCCGTATTAGTAATTTGATATGCTTCAATCTGTTTTGTGAATTTGTGTAGATATTTTATTTCGTGGGACTTCTTACTTTCTCCATGTTGCGATGAAAGAGTGAACAGAGACAAAGCCGGTTCTCTCTCCTCCTGCTGCGTAGAACATGGGGGCCTTCCAGTAAAGTGGACAGCCACATGCCTGAACAAAAACACAGCATATACAGTCATTATTAATACAACACAAAATACTATACAGTACTGTGTGAAATTACAATAAAGACCACGAAAAAAAATTATGAGAATCAACAATAATTTGCATCTATAACTTTTTATACATCACTTACTAAGAGAGCAACTGCCATTTTTTGGATCTATATATCTATTATATGCAACATTTTGAAGACTTTTTGCTCATTGTACAATATCTTGTTTTAATTTGGTAATCACTATGGCAACAATTCTAATAATAATATAATAACAAATGAAGGAGAGAGGCAAATGGCTATTATGCAGGTCTTTGCTGTAATAATAGGATCATGAGCCACATTACTATAACTGATGTAATCTGAAAGTTAGCAGCTGATTAGTTTATGTACATTTTTTGTCATTGTAAGACACGGTTTTGTGAAGTATTTACCCCAGAAGTGCCTGATTTCAAATTTTAATTCATGTCTGTTTATTGTTTTTATAACATTAACACATCTTATTATTTTGATCTGTGTACTTTTGTATATTAACTCTCCCTTTTTCTGTCTATGTGTACAGAACTAGTTTCCAGGAATTTGACCGGGCCGTCCCTCGTATGTTTTATGCTTTATCGCGTCTGCTTTCTAAGAACTACCGGACATCACATGCTCCTGCTACTGTCCTCACAGCTCTCTACAACAGTTGCTACACAGCTGACCTTGGCTATCTTCCCCATCTCGTAAATGTCTGCCTTCTCGTCCTCGAACTCGGTGAAGGCGGTTTCTATGGTAGCGATGGTGGCGTCATGGTTGGGGGAGGAGCCTATCACAGGAAGCCCGCGGGGGAAGTAGAATCTGGGAAAAAGAACATGGCAAAGTCAAATATTAGAGATTATAAAGAGGAAAGGAAAATATGCCTTGCAGTTTTTAAAATCCTGTTTAATACTTTTACTTAGCCTCAGTTTTTCACTTACTGACACATGATGAAAAACTTTGAAACCCATACATTTCATTAACAATGTTTATAATTACCATACCTATAATAAGTATGTACAAATGTATATAATGCTAAAAAAGTTACCTTGAAAAACATTCATTCTTACTGTGAGTTGTGTGTTTGGTTCTCCAGTGATCTGACCTGTAACTTCGCTGTTTGTGTGTATTTAGTTTAATGCCGTACTGTGAAACATTCTAGGCATCTCCATGGAGACAACCAGGTGGCGGACGCATAACGCTCATTTAAAAGTGATTTATTAACGTTTCCAATAATAATATCATACTATAATATATCATTGATTGAAATGAACCTACCTGGGAATGTTGATGGCGGGAGGGGGTGGGGTGACGATGACCGGGACGGGGGGCGGGCTGGGGGTGCGCGTTGCTGGGATGACCGTGAGCTCCGCTGGGGCAGGTGCGGCAGGAGGGGTGATTGGTCTCTTCTCTGGTTTGGACTGAACCTGGATATACACAAAAGAGAAGAGGAAGTCAGCAAGAATGACAAAGTGAGAATCCAGAATTATGTGTATTGTGCAAATATTAAAGATGTTATGTGCAAACTGAGGTACTGTAACAAAAATAATATACTTTGGAACTGATTAAGTTTACTATGAAAAATCATCACAGTTCATTTGAGTGGGCTCCATTATCCTTCAGAGTAATGGGGTGACACTATTTAAAAAAGCAGTCGTGTAAGTTTTATACAGCGAAAACTACGTCATAACAAAGCAATGCAAACATGTAATGTTAGAAGTTGTAGCACAGACAAATCATCATGGAAATAATACTTTAGTTATGACCTTGTCCATGTTTAATTCTGGGTTTAGTTCCAGTTTAATCTCAATTTTTTTTCAATTTTTTTGTTTTTGAAAGTGTGAAAGCCAGTAAAAATGCTATTAAATTACCTTGCTCTTCAATACTAAAGCAAGTATCGATAACTAGAGCAGCTTTTGATACTAAAGGCACATTCACAGGCCAGAAATGAAGCTTTTCCTGAATAACTTTAGAATGATCTTGAGCTTTATCAGAAAAAGTATAAGAGCACATAGACTAGTATATGCCCATGAACCATTATGGAATCTAACTGGACAACTGAGATAGACCGAGAGAGACAGATATAAGACCACATAGTAATATAAAAGAATATGATTTAATGTTGAAAGTCACATGTAATGGTATTGGTATGGTGTTGGAATCAGTATTTAATATTGTGCCTGTTCCTTAGTATCGAAATCGAGTCTGAAATTTTTTAGATTGTGACAACACTGCAATTTTGCATATGTATATCAGTGTACAAATAATTCAACATTAAGTCACCATTTCTGACAATAATAATAATAAAAAAAAAAAAAAAACTGTTAGAAAGAAGGAAAAGAAAAGTTTCAAATAGTCAGAATAAATTTTTTTTTTTTGGACAAATGTACACTTTAAAAATTAGACAGCCCTTATAACCAGTCTGAATGAAATAGAATTGTCCAGTGTGTCTTCCTGGTACACTGCCTGTGTCCCTGTGGTGTGTATTGAGAAGGACAGCTGGAGCAGCCCCTCCCTCTCTCCTCCAGCGTTCATTCTATCACTCTATTCCTACACCTCCTCACTATAAATACCCCTGTGGTATCTGCCCGGGAATAGTGCGTTGCCCCTGGCATGTCGGCGCAGCAACAAAATGCAACCGCTGTTTGGATTGGACAATATTCATGCCAAAATGTGTGAATATGGTCGGTGTTTTATTAAATTTATGATGAAATTTAGGGCTCTTTACATATTTTTTTAGTCCCATTTAATAATAATAATAATAATAAATGTTATTTATATAGTAACTTAAACATCTCAAACTGTGTGTGGATTCAGCAATATGAGGGCAATGGACTGGCTACAAAATTATACTAAATTGTTATTTTTAAGATCTGAAAATGTATAATATCAACTAGGCTATATCCCCTATATTCCTATAGAGTATCCAAAAGGTTAAAGATAAAAGTTAAGTGGATAAAAAATATAAACTAGGTATAAAGAGACATTACTGCTCTGTTTAACTTGACTTTAAAACTGCACTAGTATTTAAAGATGCATAATGTAACTTTTTGCATGTAATATCCCACTGTATGGCATTATCTCATCTCCATGGAGACAAGCAGGTGCAAGTTACAGGTCAGATCTGTGAAGAGGTGACCCCACTCACAGCAGCAATGTATGTCTGTTCAAGGTATTTTTGAGCAATAAAACTCTGTGATTGAATAAATGCATTATAGAGAAGATTAATGCTATACTGTGGAACATTCAAAAGCAAAGCAGTAACATGTTCAGAGAGACAAGATTTTGGCGGACGCCCTAAAAAAGTTAGATAGTGCGCCTTTAACTTTAAAATGAATTCACTTTTTTCTCAGATTTTTTTCTCCAATATATTTACCGTATATATATTGTAGAGGAGTTTTTTCATTTGTAGAAAGTAAACATCAAATTTTTTCTCCAAATCTTCATGATAAATTAACTGTACTAACTCGTAACATTGATTTTAATATTTTCCATCCAGTCACAAACCTGTTGCTGCTGCTGATAGGACTTGAGTCTTTTCTTGAAACGGGATGGGAGCACAAAGTCACAGCCTCGGGCCAGAAAGGCCAGCTCCCCCCTGAGGTCGGGGTCCCTACGAAGAGACGTCTCCTGGATCTTCATGGTGGGGGACGAGACTATAACCCCCCCACCTGTGTTAGCCACTAGTAAGGCTACTGTCCCAAGATCGGACACTGGAACAACTCTATGCTAAGCTAACAATTTCGCTATGTCCACTTGATGATGAGTTAGATAAAGTTCAAGAAAAAAAATCCAATATTTCAGAACAAATTCCAAGTCCAAAACCAATTTTCAAATCCAAGGATATCCGAAGAACACTGCAGCAACCGCCAATGATTACAATATTATAACCTGAAATAACAGCGGTCCAAGTTTTTCAAATAAGTCCAGGAATATATGACAAAATCCTATATCTCTTCCCAAATCCAAGCACATCCAAAGCTAATCCATAAATTTCAGATAGACATCCCAGAAGACTAGTCCATAAAATAAGCCAGGAAAATCAAAGCAGCCCCATCTCGAACTGCTTCTCTCCTCGGACTTCCAGTTGTGGCCCAGTCCTGTGCTTCTCTGGTGTAGCCTCCCTGGTGCCTGCTTACAGCGCCCTGTCAAACTGGGCACGGAAATCTGAGCCGAGTGGGTGACAACACACACGGACAGTCCCCAGCACTTGCTCGAAACTGCCCCAGGGGGAGGCGGGGCAGGGGTGAGAGAGAGGGGCAGATAGAGCGCGGGGGTGAAGGGGGGCGTGCTTGGGCCGTGTTGCACATTAGGGTGTACGTGTTTTGCAGGCTTTTGTTTGGCTAAAGTTAGAGGCTAGTCAGCTAGTGCGGTTGGCAAGCGGAAAGTTTTTGGCATACAGGAAGTGTGGGTCAGCGGTTTACTGTAAATTGATTGGACGAAGTGTTCTTAAACGTGTTTCCGTGGAGATAAATTGAGCGTGTGTTGATTCAGCAGCCAGCACACCTGTTGTTAGATCTGTTGACATACAGTAATGCCATATGACTAGTGCGTATTTCAATGCATTCCTCTGACTGGAACAGCGGCATTGATAATACGCACAGTCAGTCGTATATACTGATCCACACTCCAAAGTATTGCAAAGTGATTTCTCTTATGTGTTCGCACTTGTCGTTGGTTTAGCTCTGGTTTAAGCCCAGGATGCTGCCAGTGTTGTCACCATACTAAAATTTCAAACTCTATTCCAACGCTTAGGAACAGAAAAAAAGCATAATCTTTTTTTTATAGACACTCCATGAGCTTCAGCAACAATTTATCTCTTGAATGGGGAAAAAGTCCCAAAAATTTGGCACAAAGATGCTGAAATCTATGAACACTTGACACTTTCAATGTTACCATGTAGTCTAATAATAGTTCTGATAAAGCTCATGTCAAGTTTTTTCCAGTTTATGTACTTTTTAATCAGCGGTAGTATCAATATTTCTTTGTCTGTTATTGATTAGTATCTGACTTTTGATACTTTTGACAACTCTATTTACAGATTTTGACAAAATTGTGAAAAATCATAACATTACAACTTGTACTCATGCTCTTTGAATAGTAGGGTTGTGCAAAAATATCGTTTAATGTGATGATACAGTATTGATATTGTGGGCTGCTGTATCAATATATCGCCAAGAGTTATTTAAATTTTATTTTACTAAATTATTTTGTTACAGCGCTACAGTTTTGTTGCTTGTTTAGAGGAAGGAAACTCATGCACACATTTGACATTTTCACTGTTTTGATGATTTAAAATTGGTATGTTTCATATAAACTTTGGTTCATATGGTTTAACAAAGACTTTTCGTATCACAGCCATGATTTAGCCATTATTTTTTACTGAACCGTATTGAATCGATTTATAATATATCGTACTGAATCAAAAGTGCACTGTATCGAGATATGTATCGTATCAGCAACTTCTTAATTATACCCAGCCATATTGAATTGAGAAAATTTAGTATGATGCACAAATAAAATACAAATATAGAGGTCTCACATTTCTCAAACCTGAAGGATCACAACATATTGATACAGCTCATCATAACCATACTGTATGACCAAATTTTGAATATACACCACTACTACTTAAAACTTATTTTATATTTGATTATCTATATCTATGTACAAAACTTTACTCACAAGACCAGGCCTGCATAGGAGTGCATGCAAAAACAACTATTTATGCAGAAAAAAACCCAAAGAAAATCTTAAGCTAAGTCAGCCACTCAAACTTCTCCTTTCTGCTGTTGTCCAATATAAATTTAAATAACATAAATAAAATAGAAACCAGAGGCCAGAAGCAGTCCTAGAAGCTATACTTGGCTAATATCTCAAATATCAACTAAACCTTTTCACAGTCCAGCATGTCTTTTTAGAAGCCTCATTAGTCACTTTTATTTTAAGGAATATTAAATATGGTGATGCTACATTTGAACATCTTACTATAAATGACTCTAGAGCCAGTACATATGCTGCCTACTGTAGAATTACTTATACTTATTCTGAGCGGCCGCTTACAGAAATAGCTCGTTAGCCTTGTTATCTCACTGCACATAAATTGAATTAGCACAGATGCCCTGCAGACTTTGTGCACAGCTGAGGGGACAGAGCCATATGAGGCCATAGTTTAGCACCCTGCTCTGAACAGTAAGGGGTGCATACTGGAGCATAAGGGGAGAATTCAGGAAATAACAACTGGACTTCTCAAACTGTATTCGATGCTCTGTAAATATCAGAGGTTACATTGACTTTCGAAGAACGGTTGTAACCAGAATCATTAAGTGAACTATATGTGACGGTCTCCAGTGGCCTCTCACCATACCAAGAGCTTGTGAAAGTGTGAAACCAGATTGAACAGCATCCATAAGTAGTCCCATTCTCT